AGCCATACATTTGCATTTTCTTTGATTAACATTGACTTCTTTTTAAAACTCTAAGAAAAGACATCTTGATTTCAAATTTTCTTTAGAACATAAATGTTTTTGGGTTTTTTTAAAGATTTTTTTAAATTTATTTATTTGACAGAGAGAGAGCGCAAGTAGGCAGAGCGGCAGGCAGAGGGAAAGGGAGAAGCAGGCTCTCTGCTGAGCAGGGAGCCCGATGTGGGGCTCGATCCCAGGACCCTGGGATCATGACCTGAGCCGAAGGCAGCCGCTTAACCGACTGAGCCACCCAGGCGCCCCAGAACATAAATGCTTTTGCCAACTCAAAATAGTGTTTCATGGGGGTGCCTGGCTGGCTCAGTCGGTAGAGCATGTGACTTTTGATCTTGGGGTTGTAAATTTGAGCCCCACGTTGGGTGGAGAGATTACTTAAAAAAATAATATTTCATGAATTCATAGTTCTGTCTGAAATAGACAAAGCATTTTATTGATAAGAACTTTGAAAGTATTCAATAAGAAATAATTTCTTGTGCATCTGCTAGGTACAAAAAAAAATAAGGAAGACATGATATTGTCCTTTTTCCACATCTATCCCTGCCACTAATTTTTCCTATTAATGTACATATTATATATCTATCATAGTTTTACTTCATCTGAGCTTTCCATAAATGTGTTTAAAGCTTGAGCACATGATATGGCTTAAAGGAATATCTTCTCTAGAGACTTCTCTGTTACACATTAGGGTAAAGAACAACTTTTTCTCATTCTGAGTTTTCTTAGAATTTTGCATAATGGAACAAAAATCAGAAAATACAGATGTCAGTATCCAGCCCATGTTCTTTAGAAATGAGTTAAGATTCTTGAATATATTCAACAGTATGTATTCAATTTCTGTTACATGTTAAAGCTGGGGATTCAATGGCAAGCAAAATAAACATTGTCCCTGCCCTATGGCAAGGAGTTTCAGTTTAGCAAGGAAAACAAATGATTAAACAAGAAATAATAGTGAAGTCCAAAAGGAACTATAACGATGAAAGTGTACAGTATTTTAGCAGGATCACCTAACCTATGGAGAATCAGGGAAGGCTTTCTAGAGTAAGTGGTCCTCTGGCTTTTGGCTGAGATGAAGGATGAAGAGTAGAAATTGGCCAAGTCCAAAGAAGGAGGATAAGAGTTCTAGTCAGAGGGAACAACATGAGAAAACTCTTTGGGGTAACAGTGAATGTGACATTTTAAAAACTGAAAGGTGCTCACAACGGCTAGAGTGCCAAAGGACAGTAGCCAGAGATAAAGCCAAAAAGGTAAGCAGTGTCTGTATCATGAGGGGCCTTATTAATTTTATTAAGTAGGTTGAATATTTTCCTAGGGGAAAAAGCAAGATTTTGAAGAGTCCAAGCGGTGGCCAAAAACGAAAACATCAAATTGCCATTTTAGGTGAAAGAGTCTGGATATGTTGCCAGTTGGTTGGAAGGTAGCAAAAGGAAAGTCAAAGAGACCAGGGAGGAGGTTGCAGTAATCCCAGCAGGAGTCAGTAGATCATGGCTTGACTAGGGTAATGGCAACGGAATAGATAGATATGAGAGGATTACAGAGAATTGACAGGAGTTGCAAGTTGATTAGCTCTCAGGAATAGTGAAAAATCAAGAATTTCAGGGAAATGCAAATCAAACCCACAGTGAGATAACCATTTCATACCTTTTAGGATTGCTGTAATCAAAAAGACAATAACAAGTGTTGAGTAGGATGTGGATAAACTGGAACAATCATAAATTACTGGTGGGAATGTAAAATGGTATAGCGGTTTTGGAAAACAGTCTGAAAAGGTTAAACATAGATTTAGCACATGACCCAGCAATTCCACTCCTGTGTGTGTACCCAAAGCAAAGTGAAAACATAACTTCACACAAAACTTGTGCACAAATGTTCATAGTGGCATTATTCAAAATGACCAAAGAGTGAAAACAAATAAACATTCATCAGCTGATGAATGGGTAGCCATCAAATGGAGTATTATTCAGCAATAGAAAGAAGTGAAGTACTGATAACAAGCTAGTGTGGATGAACCTTAAAAACATCATGCTAAGTGAAATGAAAAAAGAAAATGTGTTAAATGAAAGATTGCAAAAGACCACAGATTGTATAATTCCATCTCTGAAACATCAAGAAATAGGCTAATATATAGAGACAGAAAGTAGATTAGTGGTTTCCTAGGGAGAGGGTAGGAAGAAATGGGGAGTGCCTGCTGATGGGAATGGCGTTTCTTTTTGGGGTGATAAAAATGTTCTAAAATTGATTTTGGTGATGATTGCACAACTCTGTGAGTATACTAAAAACCATTAAAGTACATACTTTGAATGAGTGAATTGTATGGTATGTCAACTATAGCTCAATAAAGGTATTATTTAAAAAGACCAAGAATTATTCTTAAGTTCTCTATGTTGGGCAGTTGGGTAGAGTATAATTGTTATTTACTAAGACAGAGAAAGATTAGGAGGTAGAGTTCAATTTTAGATTTGTTAAATTTGAAGGATTCACAGGAAATCCAAAAGAAGATAATCCAGGAAGTGAGCTATACATATCTGGTATTTAAGAATGTGGTCTACACAGAAAATACAGACTTGTGTCACCACCATATAGGTGGCAGTTGAAGAGAAGAGTGCATAGAACAAAACCTTTAGGAAGACCAAGATTAATAGGACAGGAAAAGGAACAACAAAGCTTGCAAAAGACATAAAGAGGAGTAGCCAGAGAGAGTAAGAGGAAAATCAGGAGTATGTGATAGAATGGAACCAGTGAAAGAGATTGTTTTAAGGAAGATGGAGTAATCAGCTGTGTTGAATGTTACTGACAGGTTAGGTAAGATGGGGTCTATACTTGGTGACGGCAGGTATCAGTGATATGGGAAGAGTAGTGTGAATGGGAGTAGTGGAGATAAAAATAAGATTACGGTGACTTGAGAAATATGTGGGAGATAAATTAGAGCCAAAATTTGGATTCAAAGAGGAAGAAAGAAGATTAATTAGGGATATAGGATGAAAGGTTTTTGTTTTCTTGTCTTGAGGAAAGGGTTGCTGTTAAGATGAAAGAAACATGAACATTTTTTAATGCTGATGGGAATGAGCTAGTAGGGAGGGAGAGTATATACATATCCTGGAGATAGAGGAGGTAATGTGTAGCATGAGATTTTTAACAGTGCTGAGGGTCATCTGAACACAGGTAGGGGTATTAACTTTAAATATGAGGAAGGATGATTTTTCCATGATAACAGGAACAAAGAAGGAGAAGGATAAATGGAAGCAAATGTGTTTGTAGGTTTGGTGATAAGATATTCAAGGAATTCTCATTGAATGACTTCCTGTTTTCTCTTTGTAATCAAAGATCAGATCACCTGTTATGACCGACTGGTGATGTTTATGGAGAGTGGGGAAGTTTGAAATAGCAGAGAATAGTAGTGAAATATAATAGGATATAATAGGACTGGCAGTGAGTACTGAAAGCCCAGTTGAGATGAAAGATCTTTTATAGTGATGCCAGTTTGCTTTACTGTAAGATTCTCTTCTCTTGGGTTAAAGTAGAGGTCAGCTTACTAAGCAGCCCATAGGCCAAGTCTGGTCCCCTGGCCTCTTTTTGCAAATAAAATGTTATTTCTTGTCTGTGGCTGTTTTGATACTACAGTGGCAGAAATAAGTAGTTGGAAATGACAGAAATGAGTAGTAGTCCTCAAAGCCTAAAATATTTACAGCCTTACCTTACAGAAAAAGTTTGCTGACCTCTGGTGTAGATCAGTGTGGATACAGGTGCAGAGAAGGCAGACATTTGGAGTCATGTGGGGTTGAAGTCTTGACAGAGTGAAAGAATTAATGACAAAGGAGTTGAAGATATGGTGGATGAAGTATTGAACCTCGGTATCCACACCAAGGAAGGAAAAAAAGCAAAGACAGGAGGAACTGATAGGAGTTTCGGGTTTTATTTGGATGTCTTGGAAGTAGTTGGGAAAAACTAAGCTGAAAATGGTAGAAGATTGTGGTCATACATTACATATGTGAAATGTATGATTTTGAAGGAAGAGTGAGTGTAGGTGATGAGAGTGCTGGGATATGGTAGCTAAGGTTGAATGGGACCGAGAGACAGAGCACTAGCTAGATCACCTGTGTAGATGATGAAGTTCCCCAGACTGGAGTGGAGAGGAAGATGGTGAGCCAGGTGGTTGTCTTTTCTTCATCTCTTGAATTTATTAGAGAAAAGCTGTTTCTCTCACAAAAGGGACAGAGTGCAATAAATAACATAGGATTTATTTTTTTTAAAGATTTTATTTATTCATGAGAGAGAGAGGCAGAGGCAGAGGGAGAAGCAGGCTCCTCATGGAGCAGGAAGCCCAATGCGGGACTGGATTCCAGGACCCTGCGATCAGGACCTGAGCTGAAAGCAGACACTTAACCTACTGAACCACCCAGGCACCTCAATAGCACAGGATTTAAAATTAACAGATTTTTGAGGGTATCACATTCCTTTTTTTTTTTAATTTTATTTTATTATGCTAATCACCATACATTACATCATTAGTTTTAGATGTAGTGTTCCATGATTCACTCTTTGTGCATAACACCCAGTGCTCCATGCAGAACGTGCCCTCCTCAAAACACATCACCAGGCTAACCCATCCTCCCACCCGCCTCCCCTCTAGAACCCTCAGTTTGTTTCTCAGAGTCCATAGTCTCTCATGGTTCATCTCCCCCTCCGAGTTGCCCCCCTTCATTTTTCCCTTCCTGCTATCTTCTTCTTTTTCTTTTTTTTAACATATAATGTATTATTTGTTTCAGAGGTACAGGTCTGTGATTCATCAGTCTTACACAATTCACATTCCTATGTGTTTGACTTCAAATAAATTGCTAACAGTCATTCAGAAATTGGTAACAGTGTAGAAATAAGTAAATAGAATGTTTACTGCTTTTGTGACTATAATTAGAACTTACAATTTTTAAATGTCTTTTGATTATCAGACGGCAGATGTATTTAATTTTGAAGAAACCGTTTATAGTCATCATATGTCTCCAGTTGCCACCAAGCACTGTTTGGTAGCAGGTTTGTACCTGTACTCTTTTGTTTTCAACATATTGAAACTTGCTCCCTTTTAATACCTAGTTAGTTTTGATATAGACATTTCAACCCAGATGAATATCACAATTTAAAAAAAAAAACCTCAAGCATATGCTATATTTACATTCAATTTTATTGGTATTATGCAGGTCGGGCACTGTGCTAGTGGCTAGGATTCAAAGATTAAGAAAGCACATTTCTGTTCCCTAAGGAGTTAATTTTCAACCACCGAAGTTTCAAAAATTTTACATGAACAAAATTTGGCAACTTTTTCAATTCAACATAATAAAAAAATGGAAATTATTTTCTTTTCTCTAAGATTGTGTTATTCAAATTAAGCATCCATTTTTATGAAAGCACCTACAACAAGAATTTTCATGTGTGAGGAGGAAAAAATGTTTTTCTGGTATCTGGTATCAGGTCCCTAGGATTCCATTATTTGTTTGGCACTGCATGAACATCTTCACCTGCAGATACCAGTCAGCTGCATCGTCTGCAGGAAAGAGCTAGACACTAGCTTGTCCTCGAGGTCCACTCAGTCTGTGTCCAGAGTCTCTGGAAGTATATGATTAATATGGACAGACTGAGGCATTAAGTAAAATTATTTGATATAATAAAATAGCATAGAATTGTAGCAATGCAGATTTCCTGGTTTTGATACTCTGATATAGTTACCTAACATAACAATGGTTGGGACAACATGGGTAAGAGGTACACAGGGTCTCTGTCCTATCTTTGCAACTTTCTCTGAATCTATAATTATTTCAAAATTAAACATTAGAACATAATGCAATAATAGAGCTCTCTTAGTACCTTGTGTAACTGCAATTACATTTGCTAATTATAAACATTAAAAATGATTTGAAGTATATTTTTAGCATACTTTTTTTATATTTCTGTGTAGATGCAGAGAAGATATCATGATTCATAAGGTAGTTTCTTGTTTCCTTTTGGTGATGATTTATAATAAAATTATCTTAAACCATTTTTGTTTTTGTTTTTACAGTTGGTACTAGAGGGCCCAAAGTACAACTTTGTGACTTAAAGTCTGGATCCTGTTCCCACATTTTACAGGGTATTTTTTTTTTATTTGAAACAACAACTACTTTGAGTAAACCGTTCAATAAAAAGAAACATTACTAACAATGTATTCTTTGTAACTGACATGACTGATGTATTTTGTGCTAGCTGTTAAAAGTCAACAGGGAAATAAAGATCCTTCTGTGCATTATTCTTATAAAACTGAACTATTGAGGAGACATTTATATAAACAATAGCCATAGGGTAAACTCAAAAGATATGGAAAGTCTAGCTGAAAACCTTATCTTATTTCTACATTAAAAAAAAAAATTATTTATGAAACTTACATTGGTACATTTGTCTTATGAGCATTGTTTAGTATTGTTCTCGCTAAGTAAACATTCTTAATATTTAGGTGCTTTTTTTTCCTGAATGCAAATATTTTAGAAAAAGCTATTAAAATAATATTTTGGTTAAGATATATTAATTTGAATATTTTTGCTACTTTGCTGTCAATATTAGACCATCGATTCTAAATAATGGAAAGATGGCTTATAATTCAGAAATTTACATTTCTATTCATCCCTGAGAAACACATAATATATCAAGACAATTTGGTGAAATGGATAACATTTGTTTTACATTGTCATGAATCTCTAATAATATAAGTTAGGTAGATGAAAATATCTACTTTGAATAGTTCATTTAGGCAAAAGTGAATTAAAATGCTGAAGTCAATTATTCTATGAACGTATCACCTGTGCTTTCTAGAAAAAAATTTTTATCCAAATGCTTTCTACAATCATGAATTTTACAAAAATTTCTATTATAACTTTCTGAAAAGTTAGAAACCATTTTTATACTCTAGAATGTTTAATTTGTATGGTTTGTTGCAGTGGTTTTTTGTGGTAGATACAAGTAAACGAGCTTAAGCTGTATTACTTAACAGTGGATTCACTTTTTAATCTAACAGCTGTATTAAAAAAGAAAGACTCACTTGCTCTTTCCAATGTGAAACCAGGCCATTTATAATGGGATAACATGTAAGAAATGCCCCACAGACTTCATATTAATATTTAAACGTAGATTATTATATATGTGAAAAAGTGATGATCATATCAATTTATTTTTAATATTTAGTCTTCACTTTCTTCAAAATCAGACATATTACACTGTATCTTTTGATTTTTCAACTATTTTTTTTTTAATTTTATTTATTTATTTGACAGAGACACAGTGAGAGAGGGAACACAAGCAGGGGGAGTGGGAGAGGGAGAAGCAGGCTTCCCCACGGAGCAGGGAGCCCGATGCGGGGCTCGATCCCAGGACCCTGGGACCATGACCTGAGCCGAAGGCAGACGCTCAACGACTGAGCCACCCAGGCGCCCCTGATTTTTCAACTATTTTACAAGACTTTTCATACAGTTATATTTGCAGGTCACAGACAAGAAATAATGGCAGTTTCCTGGTCACCACGTTGTGAATATGTCTTGGCAACTGCAAGGTAACATGCAAATTATTTGGTTTTGAAGTTAATAATTAATGATAAAAATTTTGAAAATACTTTTTTATAAGATGCATATTTAGTTATTAATTAGGCCCTTTAAATAATTGAGTTACTGTTTTTTAGTCCTATCACTACATATCTTGAAGGTGCTCACCTTTTAAAACAGAGAAAACAAGAGAATTTCTAGCAATGCAAATTTGCTAGTACTACCCATAAAAAAACTGTGTTGTCATTTTTTTCTACCCAAGACTTACTTTTAAAACAGTAGCATTTCATTTTCTTTAATACAGATTATTTTGAATCTGATTCAACATTCATTCCTTGATTCAATTTAATAATATTTAATGATGACCGCCTACCTTGAGCCAAGCAGTTTAGTCCCCAGAGAAGCTTCTGTTAATAGTTTACAGAATGTGATACTGAGATCTATGCTTTCTGAAGTAGAACAAGTCTAGAATGTAGCTGTTAGAAGGCTGCCTAAAGAGGTGTGAAGGTGAAAAGCTAGGTGCTGGTTGTGGGTCCATGATAGGGCGAATTTATATTGTTCATGCCTAACTTGGTTTTTCTCAAACCATGGGGAAGCTAAGAGGCTTTCAGTTCTCAGAATACTGCAGGAATTTGAATCAGTATGAGAATGGACCTAGTAATCAATGCTAGTAATCAGGTAAGTCCAAATCTTATCTGTTTCAGAAAGTACTTAAATCCTCAGACTCATCCCATTGCAGACTTTTTCCCCAGCTGGAAAGAAAGAAAATCATTTTGAAAATGGGAAATGCTAGCTTTTTGCTTGCTATTCTAATTGGCTAGGTTTGATGGTGAACTGTGAAAAGAATCAAGACTATAGGAAGAGATAAGCCCTGTATCTATGAAAAAAATAGATTTATAAGTTAGAAATAGGCTTATAAAGTGCATTGTATTGCTCTTTCTAATTAAAGGGGCCTGGATAAACCCAATTTGTTAGAATATTGTTGAGGTCTTTTTTGAGAACATGATAGCATTAGTTAAACTGATTTATATTTTCTTTAGGAGTAGTTGAAATTGAAATTGATATGTGGTCATGGTTTTTTGCCTTTATTCTTTTCACTTACTTGAGGTAAAATAAAAGTAAGTGCCAGATTTCTAAGAGACATTAAAGTTAGTTCTTGTATATCTGGTAAAGATTGATTTGAGTATAGGAAACCAAATATAAATGTATTGTCCTTATTACTCACCTTAATTTTTTCATATAAAAAGAAAACACCAAATTCATGCCAAATGAATTCTTTTTTTTTTTTTATTCTTATGTTAATCCCCATACATTACATCATTAGTTTTAGATGAAGTGTTCCATGATTCATTGTTTGTGCATAACACCCAGTGCTCATGCAGAATGTGCCCTCCTCAATACCCACCACCAGGCTAACCCATCCTCCCACCCCCCTCCCTCTAGAACCCTGTTAGTTTTTCAGAGTCCATCGTCTCTCATGGTTCGTCTCCCCCTCCGATTTCCCCCGCTTCATTCTTCCCCTCCTGCTACCTTCTTCTTCTTCTTTTTTTTTTTTAACATATATTGCATTATTTGTTTCAGAGGTACAGATCTGAGATTCAACAGTCTTGCACAATTCACAGCGCTTACCAGAGCACATACCCTCCCCAGTGTCTATCACCCAGTCACCCCATCCCTCCCACCCCACCCCCCACTCCAGCAACCGTCAGTTTTTTTCCTGCGATTAAGAATTCCTCATATCAGTGAGATCATATGATACATGTCTTTCTCTGTTTGACTTACTTCACTCAACATAATACCCTCCAGTTCCATCCACGTCGTTGCAAATGCATGCCAAATGAATTCTTAAAGTAAAATTAGTTAGCTGCTTGGTTGTCTAGAAAACTTTTGAATAACAAACAATAGAAAGGATGTAGTAACAAACTTGCTAAGGGACAAGCTCCAAAACTATCTAGTTTTGGCAGAGGAACCATTAAAAACAAAATAAAAATCAGGAGAATTCTGTTCTTGTGATCTAAAAAAGTTACCCTTTTTTTGGCTATTTTTTTCACTGCTTTTTGCTACTACTGATTTTGAATATTTGATGAAAAGGCAAAAGTTCAACAACCCAAAAGTACAAATATATTTGCACTAATATACTGAGACTTCTGTGTGCCGTAATACTGTAAAGGTAGGTGAAGAGTACAGTCACTGTCCTAGCTATGTATGTCAGTGTAACATTTATTTCTTCTTAGTGCTGACAGTAGAGTAAAATTATGGGATGTGAGAAGAGCATCAGGATGTTTAATTACTCTTGATCAGCATAATGGAAAAAAGTCACAAGCTGTTGAATCAGGTAATGAAGAATACATTAATATAGAAATATGCCAATGATAGTATTTTTTATATTAAAAATTTTTAATTGAAACCAAGTAATTAATGTATATTGACAAGTTGCAAATTTTATGATTTAAAAAATGGCATTCACAATAAATTGATTTCTAAAAATACATAACTAAATTATGGTTGTCTTTCTTCAAGATACAAAGAAGTATGACATTTTATCTACCCCTAAATTTTCAAATGCAGAAACTTTTCTGAATTAATTTGTTACTTTTTTTCCTCCACTGAAGTCAACTAATACAAATTCATTGCCACGTTAGGAAGCTACAATAAATCGAAGGAATAGTAACATTTTGTGGCCATTGTATGAAAATAGAATTTGCAAATTGTGTTAAATGTGTCAGCTGCTATCCAGGTGATAAAGTACCTCAATTGCTTTTTTCCAATAGAATTCAATTCCTTTTTTTTTTAAGATTTTATTTACTTATTTGAGAGAGAGAGTGCGCATGCATGCGTTTACAAGCAGGCATTGGGCAGAGGGAGAAGGAGAGAGAGAATCCTAAGCAGACTCCTAGCTGAGGGCAGAGCCTGACGTGGGGCTCCATCCCAGGACCCTGAGATAATGACCTGAATGAAATCAAGAGTCAGACACTTAACTGACTGAGCCATCCAGGTGCCCCTAGAATTTAATTTCTGTATAGGATAAGATTCTGATTTAGAATTAATTGTGGACCAGAAAAATCTTAGGATGAACTATATACATTTTTGTGATTGTTTTAATAATCTTTTTTAATTAATCAGGCTCTTGAGAATTATGCTTTCTCAAATTTGGTCATTTTGAAAGTAATACAAATTTTTTTTTTTTTTAGATTTTTTATTTATTTGACAGAGAGAGACATACCGAGAGAGGGAACACAAGCAGGGGGAGTGGGAGAGGGAGAAGCAGGCTTCCTGCGGAGCAGGGAGCCCGATGCAGGGCTCAATCTCAGGACCCTGGGATCATGACCTGAGCCGAAGGCAGACACTTAACGACTGAGCCACCCAGGCGCCCCAGTTTTGAATGAAACTAGAACACTTATTCTTTCCCTACTGAAGTTTTTTTTTTAATAGTAAATACTAGTATGACTGATTTTTAATGGTCCATAGAATAGTCCATGGAATGATTTTTAGATAAAAAATGGAAATAGTATATGAGAAATTTAGAAGGTGTTTAATTTAAAAATTTAGTGTTAGGCATGCTTTTAATTGAGTTGGACAGCACAGCTTATGCTCTGAAGAAAAATTATATTTGGCAAGATTTCTTTCTCTTTAGTTTTCCTGTTTTTCTCCATTTTTATGGTTCTAATTTATATAGCTTATGATATTCAAATAATCCAAATATAATCAACTTGTATATTTTAAGTAATTCAGATAGTTGTCCTTTAATATGTTTAAATAACTGTATCATCAAGCATTAAGTGTGTGCTGAATACAAGAATAGATTAACTGAATTGTATTTTTCATTGCAGCAAACACTGCTCATAATGGGAAAGTTAATGGCTTATGTTTTACAAGTGATGGGCTTCATCTCCTTACTGTTGGTACAGATAATCGAATGAGGCTCTGGAATAGTTCCAATGGAGAAAACACACTAGTAAGAGATTTTAAATATCTCCAACTTTTTTTTTTTTTCTTTAAGTAATCTACACCCAGTGTAAGGCTTGAACTCACAACCCTGCGATCAAGAATTGCATGCTCTACTGATTGAGCCAGCCAGGTGCCCCTCTAACCTTTTGAATATATATTTAAAAAATGGATCTGTGAAATACACTTGGTGTCCTTCTGTAGATTTAACTCTTTTCTTGTCTCTGTATTCCAGTTTTCTTTTTATATTTTTCTATTAGTGAACTAATAACTCTCAACACAGGACAGCCCACCCTACCATGCCCCCACCACATTCTCCTCACTTGTGGAGAATTATTGCTCTACTGTGCATAATGTGAGTGTGCCATATTTCTCAGGTGTATTGGAGAAGAATAAAAGATTGAGAACAACTGATATAAATTAAAGTTATAGTCAAATTTTATACTATATATGACTTGTAAACAAAATCTAAGATGAATGTTATAGTACCAGAACATATGGTACTTTAATACTGGAGTAAATGTGTTTTAGATGTGCTAGATTCTTATGTGGTATTTAATTTCTAACACTTTTTAAAAATTTATGTTTTGCTCCTTACCAGGTGTACCTGTGGTTTAATAACTTTCAGAATAAGCTAATAAGTTTGTATTTTGGTGGTAATAGTAATAGCTAATACTTATTAAGTGCTTATGTGTCAGATACAGTGTTAATAAAAATTAACATGTAACATGTACTGAAGCATATAGGGTCTTATTTAATCATCAAATCAATACTGTGAAGGTAGTTACTGTTATAATACCCATTTTACACATGAGGAAATGAGACATAATGGTGATTATACCAAACACCTTATAGCATTTATTTAATGCTTTAAGGTAGGTATTGATTATTAATATTAATTATTTATTAATTTAAGTACTCTCTTCCCCCAGCACGGGGCTCAAACTCAACAACCCCTAGATCAAGAGTCACATGCCCTTCTGACTGAGACAGCCAGGTGCCCCATTTCATCTTCCTTTCTTTAACCTCCTTTCTAAGTAATTCTCTTTTAGATACTCTAAAGATCATTTCTTTTATTAAATTCTAATTTTACTATAAGGTCAAAATTGTTCATACTAGATTAGAGTTTGCTAATCTCTCATGTACTTTATGAAGTGCTTCTCCATCATATCTCAGACTAGAAACTCAGGCATTGCAAATTTTACTTTAGAATCTTCCATTCATTATATTTGTATCATGTTTCTAACCAGGTCACACCTTTCTTTTCTCATTTTATTCATTTATTTAATAAGTATTTATTGAGCATATCCTGTTTTCCAGACACTATTATACAGCAGCAGACAAAACATAGAAAAGTCCTATCCTCATGGAACTTATATTCTAGGGAGAGGAAGAAAGACATCCATCCATCAGTCAATAAATAGATGGATGGATAAAATATATTTTAGATGTAACAAGTGCTCTGAAGAAAAGCAAAGCAAGGAAAGTAGCATAGAAAATATTGGGAAGTTGGAGTTGCAGTTTTACATAGGGCAGTCAGGGTATGTTTCACTCAGAAGACGATATTTGGCCTGAAGGAAATGAAGTGAGCCATTAGATATCTGGGAAGGCAAGTGTTCCAGGCAGAGGAAGGAAGAAAATAGAAAGACCCTGAGTCGGGAGCATACTTGGAATACCCAGGGAACATCTAAGAGGCTCTTGTGTTGAAATAGAGGAAGCAAGGGGGAGAGTACTAGGAGATGAGGAACAGAAGGAACCAGACACCAGAGGATATAGGCTTGTAGGCCTTTGTAAGGGCTTAGGCTTTTTCTCTGGGTGAAATGGAAAGCCACTAAAGGCCTTTGAGTGGTGATGTGATGGGGTCACTTTGGAAAGGTCGGTTTGGCATGTGCATCAAAGGTGAATGTGATAAGTATAAAGGGTATTGACTATATATATAAATTGTTAGTGTGATTCTATTACATTTTTCTCTCCTTCTTGAAGGTGATACTCATGCCTTAAGGGTTTTTGCTAGTAGTAAGTCTACTTCTTGAATAGTGTGTTTGGAATGGATAATACCTTTTAAAATTGACTTGATCTAAGTAGTCATTCATGCATAGCATTTGGAGTCTTTGGTGATCTTCCTGCTGATAATTCTCAAATGTTTAGCTACTGGTTTTACACCTGCCCTAAACTGCTTAATCTAAATTATCAGCAGGTTAATTTCAGCACTATCAATTTCTTTTGCCCAAAGCTTCTCAGACTTTGATGAGCCTTTAGATCACCTAGTTATCTTATTAAAATGAAGATTCTTGTTCAGTAGGATTGGGATAAAACCTGGAATTTTGCTTTCAAACTGCAGAGGAGATGCTGATGTTGGGCTTGCACCTTTGCCATACAGGTGCAGAATTTTTATTTTTGTCCTAAATATGTAATTATAGAAAGTTGCAGTTGTATACACACTACTTGTGTTCTGTGCTTTTTTATACTTAGTTTTTATCCTTATTTCCTGCATAATTTTCATAATTATGATTTTTAATTACTATATAAGATGCAGAGTTATTATAAAATTATTAGAGATTTACATATATTTTTAGTTATTTTGCCATTCTAGATAATGCTGCATTGAATTCCACTGGGCATATAGCTTTTTGCTGTTTAATTATTTCCGTAAGCTAAATTCCCAGGAGTAATTACCAGGTCAAGGAGTAAGAATAACTTTCTTGTGTAATGGGTACAAAGTTTCAGTTCTGCAGGATGAAAAGAGTTCTGGAGATTGAGGATGATGAAGGTTGCACAACAATGTGAATGTAATGTCACTAACTGTACACTTAAATACAGTTAAGATGGCAAATTTTATGCTGTGTCTATTTTGCCACAATTAAAAATGTTTTATTTTATTTTAAGATTTTATTTATTTATTTGACAGAGAAAGACACAGCAAGAGAGGGAACACAAGCAGCAGGGGTGGGAGAGGGAGAAGCAGACTCCCCACTGAGCAGGGAGCCCGATGCGGGGCTTGATCCCAGGACCCTGGGATCATGACCTGAGCTGAAGACAGGCGCTTAACGACTGAGCCACCCAGGCGCCCCACAATTAAAAATGTTTTAAAATAAAAAGAGAATTATTCCCTCCCCCCCAAAAAAAGAACATCTTTGTATTTTGTTGCATAATAAATCATTTGGCCTTTTAGAAGCAATGACAAGTTACAGTGCCACCAACACGTTACCTCACTTGTAACGGTATTCACTGTCTCAAGGTTTCTTGAAATTTTTTGCTAAATGGTCTAAAATGATTATTTAAGGTTGCCTTAATTTGCATTTTATTTCTAGCCTGGTTAAATGTAAACATTTGCTTTTGTGGATTTTTTTTTACTATTTGTATTTTCCTCTTATGTGAAATATATATTTATGTCGTTGGCCCTTGTTTCTTTCTGTTAGGACCTTGATCATTTTCTTTAGGTTTATTACAGCCCTTTCCATAGTATGTTATAATATTTTAAGTAAATATTTCTTCTAGTCTTTGTTGTCTTTTTAATTCAGATTTAAGAAATGAGTAATGTTATTATTTTACATCCTGCAGGTCAACTATGGAAAAGTTTGTAATGACAGCAGAAAAGGATTGAAATTCACAGTCTCCTATGGCTGCAGTACAGAGTTTGTTTTTGTACCATATGGTAGCACCATTGCTCTTTATACAATTTACTCAGGAGAACAGATAACTATGCTTAAGGGACATTATAAAAGTGTTGACTGCTGTGTATTCCGGTCTAATTTCCAGGTAAGAATGATCCTTAAGGGAATTTAAAATGTTCAGGTAGCTAGCTTGCCAGACTAGTTGTATACAAAAGAATAAATTGTGATTTCATTCTGAGGAATTACACTTGTAATCCACATTTAAGCTAGGGTTTCTTTAATAGAGGATTATACAGGATACAGTTTTAGATAGTATAGGATATTTGTAGGAATCAATATAATACTGTGCAACTTGACTGAGATAAATTCTTTCTTCTGCATTTGGGCTCCACTTATTTACCAGATGAAATCTCTAGTAAATTAAAATAATGTCTTGCAATCAATCTTTTGGGAAAAGATGGAATACTGTGTCTAATCTCAAAATACAGTTTTTGTATCTTCATTTATCTATGTGTGAGTCTGTCTCAGATTTTATTTCTTCTTTATTTCTTGTCAGTGGCTAATCATTTACTTTTGAGTTGATGCAGCTTACACGATTTCTTAAATATGGCTTTTGTTTTTTAACATCCTGACCTTTCTCTTTCATCTTACCAACAGAGCAGATTATATTTTTCAGAAAATATTGGCACAAATTACCTCATGTGTTCCTTTAAATGAGTCTCTAATATAGCAAGACTGTTGGTATTTTCTGTATTTTGTAGGTAAAGAAAATGAGGCTCATGAGCGTTAAATACTGATAGGATGAAAACTATGGATTATTAGAGCTAGGAAGGACTTCATCACCTGGTAAAGTTGTTAATCATTTATTCATTAATGCTAATTACTTAATTTGTGTGATACTACAGTAAGATATACAGTGCTTATTTTTCAGCCACCACACATCTGTATGGCAATAGCCATTATTAAAATATTCAAATACATATTTTATTGTTTGTTAAATAGCTATTGCACCAAGCCCCCTAAGAGACCTCTAGCTTTACCCCCTTTCCTGAGGCCTCCTAGTTTACACCTTAACCTAGCACCTAAGAGGGACCGTCAGGATCCTGCTCCCACTCTATGGCTATTACGTCTGCTAATTGTTCAGTATCCTGATGTACTAGTTGTTAAATATTTTTAGTATTACTTCTGGGAGAAGAAGACTAAAACACCACTTTGCCTTGCCTCAAACCTGCAAGTAGTTATTCACAGTGTATGGTTATCTATTCAAAGAAATTCTTGGAATACTGTACCTCTTTTCTTATGCAGTCACTCAGAGACACAGCCAAGATTTTAAACCAGATATCCTGACTATAAATTATTGCTTTCTACCAAATCAGAATTCCTAACACATGTGCCTAGAATAGATTAAAAGTGTGCCAAGATACTGGTTCCCCCCAGCCCTTGGAAAAGCTGAGACAAGCCGGTCACAGCCAGAAACCTAGGCCAGTTGCCTCCTGACTAATCCCATTTCTCTAGGTGCTACATACGCAGATTTGAATCACTGCACTACATCAGACAGCTTCCGGCTCTTATCCCATTATATCCATTATGATTTTTGAGAAGGAAAATAATTCTAAGTCTCAAAAGCGAAATAGGGTAGTACTTTGCATGCAGTAGAACCCTTTTTCAAATTATATATTACACAGAATTTACAATCTGAAAACAAATTGATGTTTATAGTACTTCTATTATAACTATAAAAATCTAACAAGATATACCTAACATCGAAATAAATAATGATAATACTGGGTTATAACACATTGACTAAATAAGGGTCCATGACTCCATTCAGGTATAAGTAAGTAAACTAATAAATTGGAAGTCTAATGAGGAGTGGGATATTTACATAGTCCCAAAGTACCTCCCTTCAAAATATTAATTACAAAGGTAAAATGTGTAATTTTACCTTGAAGAAGCCTGGCATACATCACCTTAATCAAATGATCAAAGTTAACATCCCAATTACATAGTATTCCTTCAGTGATAGCCCTGGCAAAGATGCATCACCTCAATTTAATCACGAGGAAACAAAAAATTTGAAGGGCATTCTACAAAATAACTGGTGTTTATCTTCAAAACTGTCAAGGTCAGGAGGGCCAAGTGCAGACTAAAGAACAGTTTCAAATTGAAGGAAAGTTAGACATGACAACTAAGTGTAGCATATGATTTTAATCTGGACCCTTTTGCTATAAAGGACATTTATTCAGACAATTGGTGAAACTTGAATGGAGTCTAAGAATTAGCTGGCAGTAATATATCATTGTGAATTTTTTAATTTTGTTAGATGCACTGTAATTGTATGAGAGTGTCCTTGTTCAAAGGAAATAATACACTAAACATTCATGAGTGATAGGACTCATGTTGTCAACTTAGTCTAATTTCCCAAGTGAACACCTAAACTTATCCCAAAAACTTTAACACTCAATTCAAATCCCTCCATTTACCTGAAGTTCTTATTAGTCATTCTAATTTAAGTGCTGTCTCTTGTAAGCTTTCTTGAACATCTACAGAATTTCCTTTGTCTCCGTCAGTGTGGAGTACTTAACCACAAATTGCCTTGTAAGCTTATCTGACCAAGTTATCTTGGAGGGGGGTGTGTGTGTGTGTGTGTTTATATTCTCAGGAAATTAAATTGTTCAAGGGCACTGAACATTTGAAAATATCTTTACATCATCCACAGTTAGTGTAACTATATATTCAAGGTTAAACAATACAGTCTGTAGAATTTTGTTCCCTTCAGGAAGTCTGATAATGTATAACTAAATCAAATTTACTTTAATATTTTTACATCTAGGGGTGCCTAGGTGGCTCAGTCATTAAGCGTCTTCCTTCGGCTCAGGTCATGATCCCAGGGTCCTGGGATCAAGCCCCACATCGGGCTCTCTGCTCAGCGGGAAGCCTGCTTCTCCCTCTCCCACTCCCTCTGCTTGTGTTCCCTCTCTCGCTATTATCTCTGTCAAATAAATAAATAAAATATTAAAAAAATATATTTTTACATCTATATTTCCTATGAATAACTTTATAATCTTAATTTCCCTTTATCTAGAACCTTTATTTTTTTTTAGAAAAATATTAATTGTACCATACTTCAAACTTTTTGAGATGAACAGTATTGAAAATAAATAATTGCATAGCAGAGCAGGAAAAAACTTCACTATTAGAAATGTTTGGGGGTGCCTGGGTGGCTCATTTGGTTAAGCGTCTGACTCTTCATCTCAGCTCAGGTCTTCATCTCAGGGTTGTGAGTTCAAGCCCATGTTGAACATGTTGAAAAATAAAATGTTTGTGTAGAAATACAGAAATAAATTTGTGTGGAAAAAAACCACTTAGTCATTCATAGTTTTACAGCTGCTTATCGTTTTGCTGTTTTTTCTTTTTAGACCTTTTTCCTTTACATAGCTTTTTCTTTTTTTTTTTAATTTGGCCTTGTGTTTTACATCTTGCTTTTTTCCTTCACAGAATGACTCTGTGGTTCATATCCTTCTCTTTTCTCTTGACATTGAGTATTTCCCCATGTCATTAAACACTCTTAAAAAACAAATTTAATGATTATATGACATCCCATATTATGAATGCAACATAAATTTATATATAAATCATTACCCTACTTTTGGACAATTATTTCCATATTTTGTTATTTTAAATATAATACTGCTGATATCCTTGAATTTCATACATGTCTTTGGCATGACTTCTCAGAAACGCATACAAAAACTTTTGACATGTATTGAGATTCTATTCTGCATAGATTATACCAATTTATACCTTCTTTATATGAGAGTATCTATTTCACTGCTTCATAGGAATGTTTTTAGTACTAGACAATATAACATATTCCTTGAGTTTTGTTGGGGATGGAAATGAACATTGTTCAGCTATGTGTAAACAGCATATTCATAAAGATGTTGACATAGACTGCGCATCAGCCCAAGCTTCCCCTTATTAAATAAACTTCTGACTAAGCATAGCATATGGATCTAAAAGCTCTTCTGTTGAATAACAACCAGTTAGGCAGCTGTGAGCTAAATAATATTTTTTGTGAAGTTCTGGCCTATTTTAGCTAGAACTCATAAGGTTTTATTATTGATGTCTTTCTTAAAACTCAGTTATTGACAGAGAAGGACAGACTCTTGATTCCATCTTTTTTCTTTTTCTACTCTGACACTTGCGATAAATGGATACTATGATTGATAAAAAACCACTAGGTTGTTCAATCTTTTTGTAAAATTTTCAGGTTAGCAAGCTCTGACAATATCAGATATTTTAATCCTAATATCCTAATGATATTTTAAAATATAAAACAAAGCTTTGCTGCATCTTAAGGAAACAAAAGACATCAGCTCGGTTTCCTTGGAGAGTAGAAATAGAATTAATCTAATTGATCTAACCTAAAAATTAGTCTTTAAATGATGTATTCATTTCCGATTGGCACCAGCTTTAAACTGACCCACGATCATATCTTTATTTTCTGTGTTATAGGAACTTTATAGTGGTAGCAGAGACTGCAATATACTTGCTTGGGTACCATCCTTATCTGAACCAGTTCCTGATGATGATGAGGTAAATATTATTTACACAAATTATACAGTGACTTTTAAATCTCAAAGAAAATAGTTTTAGAGGCACCTGGGTGGCTCAGTCGTTAAGCATCTGCCTTAGGCTCAGGTCATGATCCCAGGGTCCTGGGATCAAGCCCCACATTGGGCTTCCTCTCCCCCTCCCCCTGCTTGTGTTCCCTCTCACGCGTGTCTCTTCTCTGTCAAATAAATAAAATCTTAAAAAAAAAAAAGAAGTTTTATTAATTTATTTCACATGAGAGAGACTTTAAGATTTTATTTATTCATTTGATAGAGAGAGCACGAGCGGGGGGCGGGGGAGGAAGAGGGAGAAGCAGACTCCCCACTCAGCAGGGAGCCTGATGCAGGGCCCTATCCCAGGACCTGGAGATCATGACTTGCGTTGAAGGCAGATGGTTAACCATCTGAGCCACCCAGGCGCCCCATGAGAGAGACTTTTAAAGCATGTCTGGCTATTTTTAGATTGTGAAAATAGTTTGCCTGTTATAACACTTTTGGAAAATCCAGAAAAATATGAAAGAACAACTTAAATTTCTAAAGTTGAATTACTATTAACACTTTCATTTACTTCATTCTTGCTTTTTCCTATGCATATATGGTTGTTTAAACACAGTTAATATGCTTGGACACACAACTTGGCATCCTATTTTACTAACTTAATAATAAACCTTCTTCCCTGTCATTAATAACTATTTGTAAATTTGTTTTTAATAACATAGCACGCTGTCATTTATATATCACAATTTACTTAAATATTTACCTATTCGGAGAGATTTCTTTTGATCACTATAAACAAATCAAGGTAACTGTTTATAAATTGTTTATATTTCTTTTTTTATTTTATTTTATTTATTTATTTGACACAGAGAGACACAGTGAGAGAGGGAACACAAGCAGGGGGAGTGGGAGACGGAGAAGCAGGCTTCCCGTGGACCAGAGAGCCCAGTGCAGGGCTCGATCCCAGGACCCTGGGATCATGACCTGAGCCAAAGGCAGATGCTTAATGACTGAGCCACCCAGGCGCCCCATAAATTGTTTATATTTCTGATTGCTTATTTGGATAGATTCCTAGAAGTAGATTTTATCTCTTGAGTTATCATGTATGACATTTTTAAGGTTTTTTATTCACACACTTGAATTTTACCAATTTATACTCCTCTATCAGCAGTCTGTTAGTGTCTGTCTTACTTTTTTTTTTTTTTTTAAGATTTTATCATTTATTTGGACAGAGAGAGAGAGAGAGCACAAGCAGGGGGACTCCCCACTAAGAAAGGAGCCCGATGTGGGAC